AGGAGAACCTTTAGTTACAATTTGGCTACCACCCAAAAGCAAAATTCCCCCAACCCAGAAAAGCATACATCCCCCAACCACCCAACCCGAACCACTTTGTCATATTATGAATCCTAATTCTGTTTTTGGGGTTTGGGTTGTGGGTTGAGGGGTTTATGACCCGAGGTCCTTCGATGACGTTATGGATACTTCAGCTGTCAGTCAAAATGCGCGTTGATTGCAACACAAATGGCCTCAAGTTATCCTAATTCTCATGATCCCATTCAAAGATACACAGTGTGTATTACACACAAAGTAAAATTTTATTATTATTATGAGACATTATAATATTTTTTTTTTAAAATCACATAATTTTTATAGATATTTTCTCGCTGTGCATCTTCATCGCATTAACAACTAAAAGAAGTAAAACCTTTAAGGCTCTCTTGTCCATTTTTGTTGTTTGTTCGGCCATTATTATTTTTTTTATTATATCTAGCCGTGTTGGCCAAGGAATTTATAATGACAAGCGAGAATTTTAATATTGTGCCACTTTCTTGGTCAAGGGGGCGTGGCACTGCCCATGGGGCATTGTTAGCCACACAGCAAGATGCAATAAAATAGAAATGCTCATCAAACCAACGGGGGGAGGATGATGTCTGGGCACTATTAAAAAGTTTTCCAGCACATTTTCAAGACCCGCCCTTCGGTTAAGGAATAATAATAAAGACGAAAAAAAAGTAGAGAAATAAAAAAGGATGTTCTCTGTGCTTCAAGTTGGCCATAATGAGCTTAGTATGCATAAAGCGGTGAATTGTCAAAGATATTTTCTGGACAATTTTCATTTTTTTTTTTTCCATCGTCAAACGGAAGGAGGGGTTGTATGAGGCGAAAAGGACAATGGCGAAAATTGCCAGTGGTAAGCCAAAAGTTGGAGGGGCGTGGCTCTCGCCTTTGGATTATTATAAAGCTTTCACTTTGCTTAGTTGGGCAGACAAAGTTTTCAAAGAAAATTGATTGCATTAGTTAAGAAGGGGGTGTGTGGCAAAAAAAAGAGAAATTGGGTGACTATTTATAGACATGACTTTTGAGTTTATGGTGGCGGAAAGAGAGAGCTATTCTAGGGCTTTAAATTTATGCAGCATCTTAAAAAAAAGTTATTTTGATATCGTTTTTTATAGTTCTTGAAACTTAAAGACGTTCAAGAAAATAAAATGGTAGCCCCAAACAGCTTCCTCAGTTAGCAAGTGGGCAGCAATTTCACAAATCAAAGTGGAAACTCTACCCAAAATTAAGTTGGCAGCTTAAATTAATTGTATAGTTTAAAAATAGAATTTTTATTATAAGAAACCGTGTTTGAATTTTTATAATGTTATACTTTGTTTTTTCACCAGTAAGAATTAATTCTCAACTTTGTGTTCATCTAAAACTTCAATAAAACATAAATCAAGTTGGCAACCCCTATGCTCGGCTAATGAATTGAGTTTGCGGCTCAAAGAGTCGTTATACTTTGGCATTTGCCACAGTTATCCTCTGTGGCAGCTCTTTTTAAACAAGCCAATTAGCAAACTTTTCATTTATCAAAGCTAAAAAAAAGCCTTTGGCCTTTTGATAAGCTCACACTCCTTTCTTTTTACACCCATTTTCACACAACTCATTTTCCTCCAGCAGACGTCATGCAAATGCTGTGTAGTGGCCGGAAAAACACTCGAAAAAAGGGGAAGAGAAAAATCAAACGGAGAGAAAAATGCGGACCGCAAATTTTCCATGTCATTGCATAAGTCGCTTCATTAGCCCAACCAAAAAACGACCGAAAACCGCCAAAAAATTGTCTCACGCAGAATGACATCAAAGACAGAAAGAAAGGGAGAAACCAAAGGAAAACCAAGAGAATTTTCCAACCAACAAAAAAATAACCTAAATCATTAAAAGCTGAGAAGAGGAAGAGAATGGTTTTCAAATGCGGCGGAAAAAACAAGTCAGCGAGAAGGCGACATGTTTTTGCTTCGTTAATAAACTGCAACGATTCTGACAGGGGGTGGAGGTTATGACCTCAAAAAGGGGTGAGTGGGTGGTGGAGGGTGGATGGGTGGTTGGGTGTTCTTTTGGAAGCCACAAGAAAGACGCTGCCTAAACCGCAAGGCGTCGCTGGGTAAATTCTGTGCAGGGATTCCGGTTGCGGCTGCCAGTTAGAATTTTAAAATGAACCGCAAGAAAGACCCCTAATAGACGTGGAAGGAACTAAAAAACCAGACCGAAAATTGTCAAAGGGTTGTTAAAAAAAATACGAACACCCTCCCTAAGACACGTACACAAAAAGCAAAGTGAAACAAAAAGATTTACTTTAAGTATTTTGCCAATAAATTTAAATCACAGACAGTTGCCCAAGATGCGAAAAAAGGGTGGTTAAGAAAGAAATAGGATGAGGAACCCCAAGCGACATTAAAAACAAACAAACGCACAGGATCTCCTCTGCGAGTCAAAGTACAAAATAAAAACAAACAATGGCTCAAAAGGAGGAAAACGGGGCAAAGAAAAGCGCGTCAGAAGCCAAATAAAGCGTTAAAAGGATTTATGCGCAAGTTGAGTAGAGTTTATACAAGAAGAGGGTCCTTCCTTCTTCCTTTTTTTCTTTCACCCCATAAAAGTAGCTTACAGGTGGAATTATGCGCCTTTAAAAAGAGAATCCCAGCTTCCCACAATTTATCACCGAATTTAAAGACTCTTCGTTCTCATTTTCCTTGGCAAATTAAATTTATTCTGTATGCTCATAATTGTAAAACATGATTTACCATCTTTTTTAAGGGGGTTGCTTTTAAAACAGTTTTATTGCGAATTCTTTTGGCCAATATGTTTTTCGCAATTTTACACACAGCCCATGTTCGCATAATTTGCGCATATAAACAATAATCTTTTGCGAAAGCGTTGAACATAAATTGTTCATATCCTCTCCCAGTTTTCCTCCCCCTCTAATGGCAAACAGCATTTTTGTTGTTTTTTGCTGAAGATAACTTATAAATCATGTAATCAGAACAGCAAAAAAAAAATGGGAACAGCATGAAAAACTGAAATTGCTTTTTGCTGATGGGAAAGGGAGGAAATTCTAGGGGAAAAGGGAGAATGTTCTCTGCTAACTGTGTGGAATTTCCTCTGCTGCCTTTCACAACTCTGTAATTTATTGTGCGTTATACAACTTTATGATTGCGTGGGCAGTGGGTGGCTTAAAAAAACTTTTACAGAATTGATTTGGATGGATAAGGGAATTAAAAAGTTTGCACCGATAGTTCTCGGAATTATGACAAAATAGTTGGCAAGTGTTTCTATTTATTCTAGGAATTTAAAATAGTTACCAAGGAAAAATAATATTATTAAAGGGAAATTTGTATAAGAATTTAAAAAAAATATTTTCTTTTAATTTTAAAATATTTAGTTACCCAAAAGATACAATATTTTTCAGTTTATATTTAAAGCCAAACTTCTTTTTCAATTTGCCCACTTTAAAGACTGATAAAATCGTTTAAAATTGTTTGCCAACTCGGTAAATACCTGGCAAACTAAAAACATTCGTGTCATGACATCCCATAAACACTTTCCCCCCGCCCCTAAATGCATTTCCCTTTCACAGAAATAGTTTAACGACTTTGTTCCACAATAATCCAAGGCAACCTACCGAAGGAATTCAATGTCAGCTTGAAGGAAAAACAGAAACAGACGGATGGGTGGGAAAATGGAAAATGCTCCTCCATCGGCAGTGAAACAGTAATAATGGGCATTGAGTTTAAAACCCCGGGAAAGATATATGGAGCATGCACAATTTCCATTTGGTTATGAATAATTCCCTTGTTGCTGTGCACTTGCTTGTTAATATTTCCATTTCCGTTGTTTTATGGCCCGATTCCGAAAGGCCTAGACATTGGGAAGACAAAGGATATATATATATCTACAAGGAGGTGTAAAAAGGGAGTACATTCGAGTTGAGTGCCCCGCTTTACAAGGACAATAACAAGGAGCAACAGCTTCAAGTGCACGAGAGCAACAAATGAAGCCATTACATTCACAGGCTTATCGGCAATGTCAACGAGTCTGCGAGGCTACCTCACTTTTTGCAGAACAACCCCCCTCACAACCACCGCCCATTGTTTGCATAAAATTGCAATTTACAATTATGAGAAACACAGTAGCGAGCAAAATGATGACAGAGGGCCTCGCTTATCGGGGGAACATTTTCGCTTAGATAAGCTCAAACGGCGAAATGGAACAGAAAAAACTTGTTTGCATTAGCTAAATGAGACAAAAATTTGATAAATTGCTGAAGGACAGAGGTACACTGGGGAAAATTGTAAAGGTTATGTAAGGAAAATGAACTAAAATTTTAAAAAAATAAAACCAAAGCATGAAAATATAAAAAGTAACTTTTTTCCCATGAAATTTATAATTAGGATTTAATTAAGATTGTCCTTAAGAAAATATATCATATTTTTGTTAGTTTTTCCTCTGTGTAAAAATGTATGTTAAATCGAAGCAAGGGAATTCCCAGTTGCACCAAGGGAAAAAGAAAAAGCTGGGGACCGGGAAACTGTAACTTGCTTCCATAATTAGACACGCTGCTCACACAAGATGGAGGCATATAAATTATTGCCAGTCAGTTTGGGGCTGCGAAAATCGGAGAGTGAGGCTCTTGGCATCTTATCATTAAATTAGTTTCGCTGGAGGAGGGCAGCTTAAATGAGAGATTATTGCACAAGCAGGGCGATAAATTACGCAAAGCCTTATGAATGAGCCAATTCGAGGCTTAAATTCGCTTACATTTATAGAAAAACTAGAACTATGAAATAAAAGAAAGTATATTTTTTAAATCTTAAAGAAAGAAAATATGTATGATATTAGATAGCCCATGTTATAGAATATTATTTAATATTAAAGTTTTAGATAATCCCAAAAATTCCTTTACAAATTAATTTATTAGATTTTAAGAACCCTCTTTTCTGAACATTAAATATAAGAAAATCGTGTGAACTCACCTCCATATCTGCAATTACTCTTGTCAGCGGGTATATTGCCATTCGGTTCGAGTCGGTCCAAGTATTCCTCCGAATTGTAGCCGTTGTATGGAACTTTGTTACCGTGATTGTGGTGCCCGCCATGTCCACCGCGGTGATGGTGGTGGTGATGATGGTGCGTCGACTCGTCGCCATCTTCGCGGGAAATTGCTGCAAGGAGAGAGGGAAACAAAGGAAAAGCCACAGTTTAGTTCGAGTTTGAGTTCGAGTTCTCTTCAGGTTCTCCGGGGAAAACTCTGCCCTAATTAAATTACAGGACCACGACCATTGAGATGTCAATATCCATAAACGCTCGAGTGGCAGGAAAAGCCACTTCAGTTTTTCGGCCCCACCCAACGAAACACTTCACTTTACAGTTTTGTACCCTTCGAGCCATTAGCTTTGACAGTTAACTATAGGTGAGAGGTGAGGAAAAAGAAGGAGGAGCAGGGTTTTCGGTTTTCGGAATGCCAATCAACGCCTACTGGACAGCCTCCCTCTTTTTTCGGGTCAATATGCCAAGCTCTTTGTGGTCTGTGGCTGTGAAGCCACAGGATTGTGGTCCTCTCTTCGTGACTCCTTGCCCTGAAAATGACATTTGCTTCACAATGTTTACGTTTCCTTCCAATCAACTTGAAGCCCAAATGACAAATTTATAAAATTAACCTTTGCCACAAAAGAAAAATAACTAAAATAGGAGCTGCTTTTATTTGGGAATTCTTTTTTAGGGGTTTATTTTAAGAAGATTTAATAAAAATATTATTTTGGCACCTTATAGCAGTACTATATTTTATTTAACATTTTTCCTTTGCTACCTAATGTAGTAGAATATTTGAATAATAATACGTAGGTACATAATCCTATTAAATATTTTTATTTTAAAAATAAAATATTTTCTTTAGTAATTTCTGTGGAAAACCCTTTAAAACCGGCTTAAGCCCAACACCACTAATAGTCACAGCTCATAAAAAGGAGAATGAGGATAAATGGTCAGGGGTTTTTATATCAGAGGGTGTTCAGGGCAAATATCGAGGGTATTTTGAATGTGCCGAATATGCAAATGAATCGACGACGAGGACGACGACGAAGCTACTGGCAAACAAAAGGCCAAAAAATTGCCTAAGCTTTTGTACAAATTTATATGGCAGCACCGAAAAAGAAAAAAAAGGACACGAAACGGGGTAAAATCAGGAAGGACACTGGAGAGGCGGTACGCGGCGCTTTTTGCCTTCCAATTTCTAAAACGGAAACACAAAAGGCAGAACCAGCAGCAGGGCCATGTTGGCCACGTTTACCTGGTCTGAATGTATCCCCTTGACAGAAAAAAAAACACTAACCAAAAAACCAGAAGAAAACGCGAAACGAGTCAAACGGAAATTGGTTGGATATTAGCTTACCGCCAACACACACTCGCAAATCTTTTTTTTCGGGTGTCCTGGTGAGCCTGCAATTTGCTAACGATATGCATACAAGTGGGCGTGTTGCCCAAAAAAAGGGGAGATGGAGAAGAAAAAATCCAAGAGGATTTCCCTGGCCAAAAGTCAATAAATTCTAATCAAGCAGAGTGAGCAGCGTACCAGCCAGAAAAAAGCTTAGATTTCTCATCAAATTCTTTCAGATTTCTTTGACCATTTCTTCATGTACTTTACTAATGGTCATCATCTGGCGGAAGGCAAAAATAAATTATGGCAAGCCATAAGCTGCCAGTCAGAGCAGCAAATATGTTTAATTAATAGCCAGGGCAAATATGCAACCCAAGGGAGAGACTAAAACACAAGAGGAGTTCCACCCTTGTGGCGAAAAGAGAATGATGTCACCCACCACAAATCACAAAATTACCGCAAATCGTCGCTACAAATAAGCAATTTATTTCGCAAGTCAACGGTCGAATGAGACTGGGGAGTACAGAAGTCCAGAATGCATTGCGAAATGTCCCCCAAAAATCATCTTTCGGGGGGCGAAAAGAAAATCTCGTAAAGTTGTGCCAAAACACGCCGGAAAAGTGGCCAAAGTCGGAGTTGGAAATGCTGGAGCAGGGAAATGTAATCAATAAAATATGTTCAACATAAATTACAAACCAAAGGGGAGTTGGCTGATTTTTTGAAAAGCGGGGGAATCAACAGTACAGGTCAAAGTAATAGAAACAAAAATATATTTTAGGGTTTGTTCCGAAAAAATCATTGGGACTCTAAAAGATTTCCTAAAGGTGTCAAAAAGTATGCAATAAAATATTTAAAGTCCGGAGACGAAGTTCTGTATTGTATTGCAAACTTTTAGACACTTATTTAATTGATTTACATTTATATTTATATTTATTGGCTATTAATTTATCCACAGCTGTATGCACATTATGCAATTCGACCGCAAAAACCCAAAATGCCACACAGCATTACATCAACTCTGGTTATGTTCTTCCTTCCCCCGAAATCTATGAACCACACACTCTTTTTGGTTGGATCGCCAGCCCAAAAATATGAAATCCACATTATGTGGCAGGCGGCAAGTTGGCTACGCTGCCAAAAGGAAATACCCGTCTATCTCAACTTTAAAAAGTTCTCCATGCTTTAGGGACCCCGGGTGATTTAAACGCCAACAACCAAACAAATACCGCTGACGCATGAGTGACAGGACAAGGCGAGAACACAAAACTCGAACTTGGACATTGGCAGCAGGACACCAGAAAAGCCAATTGAACAAAGCTCGCAAATTGCAGGCGGGGAAAAAGAGACGGGAACAACTAGAAGGATAGAGATAGCAGCAACAGCAGCGGCGGCCAGCCAAATTAAATCAAAGCAAAGCCACAAAAGGAAAAAGGCCAGCAGAAACGAAGAAAAAGTGCGGAAAACTTCATCGAGTAAACGCAATAAATTTGCAAGGATCCTGGAGAGAAAGAGAGAGGAAAAGAGATGGGTGCATGTCAGAGCAGAACAAAGATATATGGCTAGAAAGAGAGGGCACGAACGGGAACAAAAACCTATCAAGCCTTGGGCACATGGAATTCGTTTCTACTTTTATCCCAAAGGACTTAACGGGTACTAAAACCTTAAAAGCCCCCCGGATAACTTCCGAAACTGAGAAAGTGTTGAGCTGGCAAAGGATTGCCAAACCTTAGATAACCATAAAACGGGTTCGAACTCAAAGCGTCCAATGATTATGACGAACGAATGGGTAATCAAATGGTTAGGGCTTAAGCATTTCCTGGAATTTGATGCGATAAGTTTTGCACTATAAGATGGATGTGTATCTGTATACTTAAAAAAAATTTTAAAATTTAAATAATTAAATAATTAAATTCAGTACAAAAAAAAAATTTATTGAAATTTAAAGAACAGCGATGAAATATAGAAATATATATAAATAATTTCAGTTAGTTGACAAGAACAAGAATAAAATCCTATAATTTCTACTTTTAACTTAAGGTTTCTACACTTTAAAAAATAATTCATATTAATTTAAAACAATTACCAAAATATTCTGGTTTTCACTACAAAAAGACACCTTTCATATATCCCTTTTATATAATGCCCACTTCATTTACCTCTTTTTTCTCTTATTTTTTCCTGTGTGACTACAAAATCGCTTTTTCAGGATTAGAGCCCACTCAAACCGCTGGCCAGTACTAACTAACGCAGTGGGCAACGCAGACAATAGACGAAATCAGTAAATTATCCCTCAAATTGGCCACCGCAGTCGAAAGGAGCAGACAAAGCTTAAATCCAATTGAATCCGGAATTTGGAATTCGGGATCCGGAGCTGATGTGACACTTCAAATGCTGACAAAATACATCGCATTAACGAAGCTCTTCTCCTTTGGAAAAGGAAAATCAAGGGGACAATGGAAACAGCGGGCAATGCAATTTGCCGAGTCAAATGAAATGTTAAATTTCAAGAGAGATTGCACTGTGATGTGGTTGTGCAATTAAGGCTTTTTTTGCAATTTAATCAATTTATCAATTAAGCAAAAAAGGAAGAAAAGTGTACCCGAGGACACGACATTTTCAGCTGCTGTTTCTCTACTTCATTTTTCATTTTTCAGCTTGCAGCTTCTGCTTTAAAAGGCAATTTCATTAGCATTTCAAAGTGCCGCTTGTGGGTCCTCCTCCCTTTTTTCAACCATTTTGCCCAATGTGCCGGCGAACAGAGTCAATAATGTTGTTAATTGCCCTCCTCCAAGTGGGCGTGGCCCTTGTTGAACAATGCTGTTGCGCGTCGGCAATTAACTTTTGTAAATAATGCATAATTGTCGAGCGGAATGTGAAAAAAATAAAAACAGGGAAACAACGGGTGGAAAAAATATAAAATAAAAATAAAAACAAGTCCAAGCGTCCAATGAACTGTTTAAACTTTAAACTACTGGTTGCCAGGGGCAAAAAGGGCTGTCGGCTGATCAGTCTGCCGAGTTCAATTGAATCAGTTGGCCAGACGGGTTGGTTAATTGTTTAAATAATTTGCATTTCGAGAACAAAAGAAAGATGTTTACATGGCGGGTTGTCTATTTTTTAATGAACATTAAAAGCTTTTAAAGTCTTTGAATTACTTTAAACCCCTTTTATTTAATCAAAAATAAATTTATTACTAAGTATTTGTTAAATAAAGCCTGGTAATTTATTTTCTGAGCTACATACGATTTTTTTACTTTTCCCACTCTGTTAATTGCAGAGATATTAAAAAAAAAGAGTTTCAAAAGCAAACTTTTCGGGCCTGTAAAACTCTAGAACCGCTCTCAAACTGTATCACCCTGCCATTTCAATTAATTCTCCATGTTCTCAATTTTATTATAATTTTTTTTCCCCAGCATAGTTTGCATGCTGATGAGCTGATGAGAAGTGTGAATGGAAAGGGGCATCCGCGAGACAACGATGGCTGTGAACTTTTTAATTTAATTAATAGACGCGCTGCCGCACCAACAAAAACGACAAAGAACGAAAATGAGACAGACGCCCTGGAAAAAACAACAATATTAACGAGAGAGCGAGGAAAGCAAAGGCAAAGGCATTGAATTACACAAAGTTCAGGGGAGTCAGGAAAATCAGGGGGAGGGAGTTATCAACTTAGGTGGGCAGGCGCGCACAGGTTGCCCTGCCAACGCACTTAAAACTTATTATTAATTAAAAATAATTTTTGCAGCCGAGGCGTGTGGTAATTTATGGATTCGAAGGATTTAAGGAGCT